CAATGTTGGCAGCCAACAATGTTCCAACGCTGGCAGCCAACATTACCTGAACGTTGACCTGAACATTGACCTGAACGTTGGTTCATTTATTTCAACAGAAAATCCTCATTCAAGTAAAATTCTTATTCAAGGAAATAACCGATAACTATCAGCTATAATACTCCAAGACCATCAAAATTATCGGATATTTCCCGAATGATTTTGGAGAGATTTTGGAGGGATGGGAGCGCTGCGCGCTTGGAATTTTAATCTGCAAAACCGATCCCGAACTTTGATATCCAGGAAAACTTGAAGGAAATATGCGATGAGTTTTGAAGGTCGAGGGGTACTCGCAGGACAATTCCTTCAATTCTGATTTTGGCCGATCAGGGGGCGGTGCAGGGATCCGCATCAATATTAAATTTCTGTAATATTACAAGGATTTGACCCTCACATTATTGAAGGGTTAAAATATGTTGATTCAATTTTTCAAATAATACAATATTAATAATCTAATTTGTTAAGAATAATGATATATTTAAAATTTGTTAATAGGAAACTGTAAATTTACTACTAAGTGAATAATTCAAATTTCTTGAAAGGGGATTTTCGATTACACAAGTAATCGTCAATCTTCCTACCTCAAATTACTGATTAATAAAATAGTTGAAAATTTGAATCTCTGAATTGATGATACTTAAAGTAGCTCTACCCTTACGGTGAATCCAAAGATTATTGAGAACTGCAAAAAAATTGCAGAAAACTCGATTAGATTCGGAATTCTAATTTTTTTTTCAATTTAATTATCGTTTTGGTTTTTCAAAGAAGAAATGTTAAAAAATCAGGATTTAACTCAGTGTCTTATGTGAAAATCAACATTTCCATTGTAATCATAGATTAAAATCTGAATTTTTTTCATTAGATGTGAAAAAATCAAGATCATTTTTTCACACCTCATAAAAAATAATCCACCGTTTTGCAAACAAGTTTTATTGTTCATTTATAAGAGGGAAATGTTTGAAAAAATATCAGTATTTTGCGAAATTTTATTTAGATAATACTGACTGGGTATGAATTTTTTCAAATTTTTTCCATGCAATTTAGTTGAAAAATTAGAAAACTGAAAGTATTCAAAAGTACAGCGTAGCCCGGCTGAAGCGTAGAGCTACTTTAAATACTCAAAAAATTTCAAGAGTGATGTTATCTAATTAAGGGCTACAATATTAACTGTAATAAAATATTATAAATTTGGCTATCCCTGCACGGAGAGAAATATTCAGTAAAAATTACGGAACTCACAACTCGCTCACCGATTACGGAATTGACTCAGAAAATTTAAGTGACGGTATGGTAATTTTTCACAGGAGATTCAGATAAAAACTACCGAACGCTCTGGAAAAATTCCGTGACAGTTCCGTAAAATTTCCTACAACCACATTTCGCTCCGGAATTACGGAAAAGATACGTCATTTTTATTGAATATTTCTCGCCGTGTGGTCCGGTGTTCGGAGTTACGCATTTCACCAAAATGTGAGGAATATTTGTCAAATTCGTAGAAAACAATTGGCAGGCTATAGGGAAATTCTCAGCGTGAAACGTATCACGTGACACTGAATACTACACTCTGATTAGTCAAAACCAAATTGAGGAAATTGTCGAAATAATTCTATCCCCACTTCTTCGCTAAACGTCAATTACTGCACTTCTATTCGTTGATATTCAGATGGGGGAATAATCACAGACATTTCCTTCTCAAAGTCATAAATATTTTTTGACATCAAAGCACATTGATCACAGCATCATCATCACTTGCTGAAGATTAATGATTTGGGCTTCGCTTTTTAAAAATATCGATAACTTTCGGCAGGAAATTCCTCAATTCTCCACGCAGCATGTCCGGATGACTTCTTAATGGTGGTCGAAATATTTCGAGTGAGAGCGAGGTATTTCTTTGGAAACAAAATGCATGACGTTGACACATGAAGTATCTTATCTTGCGGGTTCTAATGGGATTTATTTTCGAAATTCTCGTTAACCTACTTGAAAACTCCAACAGTAAAGGCAGAAAATGAAGTGGTATGCGAGAAAATATATTGAATTCGGCGAACCTGAATTGAAACAGAACTTCTATCGGATTCTAATTCTAATTTTCTTAGAGAATGTATCGGGTTTTTGCCGATTCTAGTGAAAATTCATGACAATTGACACTTTCGACTTTTTCGATTCTTCGATGAGAGTTTACTGTTGGCGAAAAATTGATGAAATAATTAAAAAATCGTAGCTTGCAAAAGCCAGCTTATATTTTTTAATAAATCATTTTCTATAAATAATTTATACTCAATCAATTTTCCACCGTAAAAATCATTTGTTTGGAATCACAAGTTTATTCATATTAAGAAATTTCCCAGGAATCGATTTAATGCCTGAAAAAATAAGATGTCCGAAAGCTTAAACAATGTCAATTATCAATTTATAAACAACGGATGTTTGAAAAATAATTCAGTGCAAAATGTGATTGGAATGACGCTGAATATTCATCATTATTTTATATTTGATGATTGAAAATGTTTGAATCTACATTGTGGTCCGTACCAAATTGTTAAAGACACTTGGACATCCTAAAACACAAAAACCAGTGAAGAAGATGGCGACGAAGAAGAACCTGCTGGACCCCCGGTCAACGACACGCAGTCTCCCGGTTCTCCCGCCTCAGGGCGCCCTTATTCCATTTCACATGCATACCTGCTCCCAAAATTCACCTGAACCCTCCCCCCTCCCCCGGCCACCCCCCTCGCGACCGCGACAACCGACGGAGGAGAAAAATTGCGTCGAAGGAAAAAAGATCTCAAAAAATTTTATATCGATTATCCATAATAACGACTGAAAGAAACCCGCCTGACACACTGATCCATTTACCCCGCGCCTGATACCTATGTACCTCACATTTTCAAACAACCGCCCAATCAGGCATTGGCAAATGACATGGCTGATAATTCATATGCATGAGACGAACACATCCTGGCTGCGCACGTCCACGGAACGAAAAAATTGTAAAAAAAAACGTAATACCAGTTATGAGGCTGTAAAATCAACGTCAAACGTTCTGAGTAAATACTCAGGTAGGTATATATGTACTCATTTCCCTGATAAGATTACGAGCGATGACTGTGTGCGCTTATCTATCTGATAAATAACAAATTAAAATGGGAGTGAGGTGAAAAAAAAAACATTCAGAAAGAAAAAAGAATTGATGAATGGAGAAAAAAATCGCTGGAAAAATTGTATTTCAAAATTTTTTATTTGAAATTGAGAAGTAAATGAGCTTTTGTAGTGTAACTTTTTCCAAAAAAAATTCAAGAAGAAAAAAGAATTGATAAATGGAGAAAAAAATTGCTGGAAAAATTGTATGTCAAAAATTTTTATTTGAAATTGAGAAGTAAATGAGCTTTTGTAGTGTAACTTTTCCAAAAAAAAACATTCAGGAAGAAAAGAGAATTGATGAGTGGAGAAAAAAATCGCTGGAAAAATTGTATTTCAAAAATTTTTATTTGAAATTGAGAAGCAAATGGGCTTTTGTAGTGTAACTTTTCCCAAAAAAAATTCAAGAAGAAAAAAGAATTGATGAATGGAGAAAAAAATCGCTGGAAAAATTGTATTTCAAAAATTTTTATTTGAAATTGAGAAACAAATGGGCTTTTGTAGTGTAACTTTTCCCAAAAAAAATTCAAGAAGAAAAAAGAATTGATAAATGGAGAAAAAAATTGCTGGAAAAATTGTATTTCAAAAATTTTTATTTGAAATTGAGAAGCAAATG